CTATGCGCGCACTGTGTGCGCACTGTGCGCACAGTGCGTGAAAAAAAATCAGGGTTACTATGAATGGCACATCTCTACCTTTACTCCTTATCTATGCAATAGGGCTACTTTATGATTATTTATTTTGATAACATTCAGTTAACTTGTTAATTTATATTTTGAGTGCTAATAAAAAAAAGCTTAATTACGCTTGAGATATCTCTTGCCTGAATACATGAACTCTAACACTAATGCAAGCTTTTTATTATCTAAATTTGGAATGAATTTATATAGAAAATTTTTTCTTGGATTTAAATTAACATCATTTTCTTAGATAAGTAGAAAAATTGTTCTTTTACAAATGCGTAAAGTCCAATCTAATTTTGAATTTTTTTTATAATAAAATTCAAATCTACATAACAATGAATGATTTGATTTAGTTTGATTTGTAATCATAATAATGATAATTTATTAAATAACCACTCACTTTATTTACAATTACCAATGTTCTAAGACACTATTAACGAATCTATAACTAATGTGATCCTGAAAATACAGCTTTCTTCTACTGTCTATATCAAAAGTTGCAAATACTAACAATAGATACTTTCATTTATCATACACTACATGACCTACTTGAAGAGATTTTAGCCATTCATTGTTCAAGTTTGTTCGGTAAGAATTTTTTTTGTGAGTGCAACTTCATGATGCTTGATTTTATAGGGCAAACAGTGAAAGTTTATCTTTAAAAAAAAAAAAAAAAGTCATTGTGATAACCAACAAAACGCTAGAGGTAAAAAAGCAGATTTTAAACTTTTGATAAACTCGAAAGATGAGAACCCAAAATTTGAGAACTCATGATTAACCAAGATCTCCTCAAGCTTGCAGACTTTCAAGCTAGTGCATTGAATGAATTGGTTAGAAAAAAATATGGAAATAGAAGTTATATGGGTCATGAGTTTGTGTGAGTGCTTATATCGATTTGACTTCTGAACTTTTTTTGTGCAGCTTGCCAACTAAGACTAAACTACATACATTTGCATTTACATGGTGCCCATGATCTCGAATTAGATGATTTTCACCGAACAAGCCCAGTTTCCAAGCTTGATATTAACATTTGATGAATGGTGGATTTTAAATAATCCTACATATTATATGTGTTTGTGATTCTAAAATTTTGAAGGTAATCACAGGAGCTTGTAGTATATATATTTCGTATGACTTTGACTTAGAATCATTCAAAAAACCACCATTAAGTTTGAGTAACAATTAAAAAAATAGTTAATCTTATAATCTTACAATATTTTATAGTTCTAAATAATGCAAAGGATCACTGGACCAAAAGAAGGTATGAGTAATGATTGTAGAGTTGGTTATAATAGTGTATGGTATGTTATTTGCCTATAGTGAACACATGAACGAGTTTAATATTTTTAATTATTATTCATTCATTAGATAGTAGTTTAATATATCATATAGTGTAACTTTTATTGGTCTTTAGCACTTCGAAAATGGAATTGTAATACCAAAAAATAGATTGTAATTTTAAAGCTAAGACCTTTCTCTATAAAGTTACAATTAGGCATGTGTATAAACAAATATATATATAAGAATAAATTTTTCCTATTTAATTAGGTGTTGAAAGTCGCTATTGACCTGGTGATTGCATCATATCCTTATAGGTATATAATAATAGGATTACCTTGAATCAGTTGTTGTCAATAATTAACTACTACAAAGGGATTACATATACAATCTTGCAAATATGTATGAGTTTAATAGTTCTATCAATTACCTTGCAGGTCAGCATTATCAAGAACAGGAGGATTAATTAATTAATTAATTACAAATATTATTTATTATTGTTATGACAACTGTTGACATTACTTGGATTTACGGAAATGCTACTTTTATTTTTATTTTGTGATTGTATTTCATTGAAAACCTTCAATTTCTGAATTCAATGGACTAGAAATACCTTTACATAAATCATGACCATTTGCTAATACCACCGTTTTCTGTTTCATTTTCCTATTAATTAAAGAAATAAATAATTATTTGAAACAAATAAATATAAAAATATTTTTTTTATCTTTGGTTTGTAGTTGCTACCATGTTTACAACCTCCTTTTTATATTTCGTTCGTTCCAATATACCTATTGCAAAAATCAGAGTCCTCTTTGATTTCATGCCTTAGATGTGCTTTACGAGACAAATTACATGAGATAAAAACAATTGTTCACACTATCTTTCGTTGGCGACGTTTAATCGGATCAGCTTGCTTATCTTTTGCGGTTGTGAATATGTTGGATATGTATGTATCTGACATTGGTAATTTGGTAATTGTGAACTTTGTTCAAATTGTTGTGAATATGATATTTGATTATTATTCAATAGCTGTAGATATTGAGCTAGTAGTTAATTTGCTGCTATTGCTGACGCTGATGATCGGGAGCGGATCCATTTTTTAAAATAACCGAATATAAAAAAAGATTTTTATTAATTAATAAAATCATTTCTATAAAAAAGAGATTTTAACAATCATACTATATTATATCCAAAATGAATTAAATGAATCACATAATGATTCCCGATAATAATCAATACTTAAATATTTATTAATAATAATATTTTGTGGCTTTCTAGAATTTCATTACAGATGCTTGACAAATACAATGAGATTGTGTAAAATAGAAATCAAATCATAGAATCAAAAAACCTTTCTTTGGAGAAATTAAATTATTTGATTGATTAGAATAAATGGAAAACCTACTTCTATGGAGATTTGCCGACATATTCAACATACCAATCCGGGTCAACATAGTAAACTGTGCAACTTTGAGGCTACTAAAAAAAAGGCAAAAAATCTTTTTTTGGAAACTCAATTTGATAAAATGAGTCACCTAAATACCTACGATCTGCGAATTAATAAATTCTCGCTTTCATTTATTTGATTCATCTTTTCAATAATTAATTAAAAACCCTAAAGTAAAAATAAAACCAAATTTTCAATTAAAACTTCGAATTATTTAATTAACAAAACAAACAAGAAGATACGGACGGAGCATACTAATTACAATTGGACCGTCATGTTTGATAGAAAAAATGTAAATGAAGACCGCAAACTTAAAAAAATCAAATTTTTTCAATATTCTTTCTTTGTTCAAATAATTATTTATTTTCATTAATTAATAGGAAAACAAAACAGAAAATCGTGATATCAACGCTGCTGATAACATTGTCGATGATACTAAACCATGTTGCCATATTAACAATAAAGTAATAGCTGATTGTCATAATTTACTTTTAGTATTTTGAGTTCAAGCAAGCATAAGTCAATCACCAGGTATTAGTAATAATAATAGCAATAATAAAAAAAAAAAATAGCAAATGTTACTAATGATAATATACATGCAGATATTCCCGCAAACCCGGTTATCGTTGATAATCAATATTATAATGGTAATGGTGTAATTTATATATTTATTCGCTTGTTCTTACTAACAAACAAAATTTTTTAAAGCACCTCTTGTTCTCAGTTATGATGATTATTATAATGCTAATCCGCAGGGTAAATTGATAGAAATATTAAACACATACATCATCTATACAATATCATATGTGTAATTTTCTTAAAAAATTTTTAGGTGATATTTGGCAACATCTGGAACAACAGCAACTGTTTCAAGGTAATAATAATATGTCGAATATTTTAGCAATCTCAACCTATAATTATCAAACCAATGCTCAGCAACAATCAAGTCCTGACGAGTATGAGTATGCTATGGGTATGGTATTTATGCAATTATTTGGTGATACTAATCGATAAAATTTTTTTATCTTATATCTATTTATTCATATACGTACGTACACACAAATGTGTATAATTATACATTCATAGATTTTTTATTTTTTTCCCTTTTAAAATATATATATTCTATCATCAAGATTTCATCTTCAAAGAAATATAATATGCACTCCCTGGACAAAAGTTTCGGTCACCACAAAACAATTAATTACGCAAAAACGTACATAACAAAACACAAATAAATTTCATCAAATTGTGACTAAAGTTCTCAAGAATATGTATGTAAAATTTCATAACAGTAAATAAAAAAAATAAAAAGTTCGACCAAAAATCTTCTGAAAAATCGTAGTTTGCCAAAAAAAAACAGTTTCTCAGAAACTTACATAATAACCACACCTGAAATTGTAACATATGAAAGATTAGGTTCTGAAAATTACGTCATATGTTTTTTATACAAGTTTTTTTTGTTGAAATTTTTGATAAAATTAAAAAATGTCAAAGCAAAAATCGTCAAGTAAAATTTTTGAAAAATTGGCCAAGTCAATCTTCTGATTTGAATCCAATAGAGCATCTGTGGAATCAATTAGAAATTCGTATTCGGAAACGTCCAAATAAATTTAAAAATAATGTTGAACTTGAGACCGTTTTACATGAAGAATGGAATCAAATTCCTAGAAATATTTATATGAATTTGATAGAAAGTATGCCGAGAAGAATAGAAGCTGTCATATCCAATAATGGGCGGCCAATAAAGTGTTGACTTGCATACAAATAAGTAAAATTTCGGGCGTGGTTATTATTATTATGTGCGTTTTTTTTGAGAAGTGGCAAATAAAATCAAAATTTTGATTTTTTTTAACTATTACTATTATTCTCCCAAACTTGAAATTTTGCATACATATTCTTGAGAACTTTAGTCACAATTCGATGAAATTTATTTTGTTTTATTATATACGTTTTTGCGTAATTAATTGTTTTGCGGTGACCGAAACTTTTGTCCAGGGAGTGCATATTATATTCTTTTTATCAAATTTCGTTTTTTTGATTTTATTTTTTAACATTAAAAAAATTTTTCATTCTTTTTTAAACTTTATAAATAAAATATTTTTAAATGGATCGTGTATATAATCATAGCAACGAAAATTGTAAATGAAGATTAGTGGCATGTTATCTGTTATCTGTTTAAAACTACTTCATTAATAATTCTTTTTCGTCTAATGTGTAAAAAGAAAGAGAAATGAAAATAGAAACATATGTACAAAATATTGATGTGTGTATATTATATTATATGCAGTATTTACCCTCTTTGAACTGCTGCAAACTAATTAATAATAATAACAACAGCAATAATAACAATAAATTTTTTTGATTAACATGTTTAATCCACGCATGTTTTAAGTGATTATCATTTTTATTAAAATGCATTGGTTAATCTAACTGGTTTTATTTACCATAAAATATATATTTTTTAGAAAAACTTTACTTATGTCTCTGCAAAGATACTTGCTAGACATAACATCATAAGCACCTCCATAATTTCAAGATATTTGGACTATTGTAAAAACAAAAAAAAAAAGTAATCATCGAAAAAGAAATACCTCTCTGATTATTATTGGCAATAAACAACACTTTTCCTTTACCAAATTATTTAGATTTTACTTTCATTTAATTCAAAACAAAAATTTTAATTTATAATAGAATATTCTTAAATTGATTCCCCAGCTCGCATTTCATTTTAACTTAAAATAATGGAATCCTGGAGATTTGTCATTTTTTTCCAGGCAGATTTCTATTTGTAATACAATTTCTTGTTTGAGCAAATTCGTTTTATCAAATAGGACAGACAAATCGAGTTTTCCTATTGACCCAAATTGGGTACTACATAAACAATAATAATAATAATTTCTATAAATATTTGTTTAAATTTATGCCAAGGTTTTCTGTAACAGAAGAACTTGTGTAATTCTTTTGATATAAAACCGGCAAAAATTTTTGTTAAAATTTTACTTATTAATTTTATTTTTTCTTTCGTCGTTAATTTGTAGTTTTAAATCGAATTAATTTCAACCAAAAAAAATGCATCAGTTTCAATTAAACGAGCAACAAACTCACAATCAATTGGTTGAACACTATTATATAGATCCATCACAATGTTTCGGTAATAATATAGATCTACAACGATTGGATAACAATCAAATACCATATCCACAATCTTATACGGATCAATCGGCTTATCAGAATCAAATATCATATTCACCATTATCTTATATACCATATCCACCAACTTATACGGATCCACATACTGATATGGATTCAAAATTATTCGATAATAATCAATTACAACAACCTGCACTAAGTTTTCAATTCATAAATTACCCAAGTACAGAGACATATCTTTCTAACGAACAACAGGGTCATACGACGCCACAGTCCGAATATAGTGTATCGAAACCGGATGCATGTAGTATCCCAACAAACATACAACCGAAAAAAAATAAGCAACCTGATCTGACTCGACACCAACAACAAAAAACAGCAGAAACCAAAAAAGCAACAATCAAACGAAAGCACACTTCTAATGCATGCCACTCGTGTCGTAAAGCATATATAAGATGTAAAAAAGAGAACAAGGATTCTACTTCTTGCCAAAGGTGTATTAGAGCGGAAGAGTTATGTATTTTTGATAAAAATCCGGGAAAAAGAGGTCGCAAACCTGGTATCGGAAATAAACCTAAGGTAAAAAAAATCATATTTTTCAATATTCTTTCTTTGTTCAAATAATTATTTATTTTTCTTAATAAATAGGAAAACAAAACAGAAAACCGTGATATCAATTCTGCTGATAATACTGTCAAGGTTATTAAACAATGTCGCCATGGAAACAATGAAATAGTGGCTAGTATTTTGAGTCCAAAAACACAAGGTAATAACAATGATGAAAATAAAAATAGAAATAAAAATAGTAGAAAATATTACTAATGGTAACATATTTCCGTAAATTTGACACTTGTTTCAATTGCAATATTAATGGTATTTATAAGTAATGTAAATTAATTAATTTATTCGTTCGTTCTTATTAACAAAAAAAAAATTTTTTTTTAAGCATCTGCTTTTAATGATGGTAATGGTGATGACTTGCAAGGTAAATTGATAACAATACTAAATACAATATTATATATGTAACTAACTTTCTTTAAAATTTTGTAGGAGGTAATTGTTTGCAACAACTGGCGAATGGCTATGCTTTACCAACCTCAACTTATAATCATCAAACCAATGATCAGCAACGATCAAATTGGGGGGATGAGTATGTCGCGGAACTTATGCAAACATTAGGTACTGTTATTAATCCACATCTACCACAATAACTCCGACTTTCAACACCCGTGAGCTAATTATAATGTTGATATTAAATAAATAAAATTTTTCTTATTTATATCTATTTTTTCATATATGTATATACACATTTATTTGTTATATTTTATTCTTTTTTTTAAAAAAAATAAAGAATATAAATGAAAAAATCTACCCTCTTTGAACTGTCTATAATAACAATAATATTAACAATAATAAGGTTGTGTTAGTCTCGGTCTCAAAAGACCAGCACGTTTCTTTCTTAGGTTGACTCCTTGCATCAAGTACAATAAGTACATTTTTAGTACAATCCCATCATTTATAAAATTTATAGGTTTTTTCACGTATGTAAAATGCATTATATAAATTTTTTACATTATTGATATTAAAGAATTATTTCATACAAATAAATATGAGTCGTTTCGTGTATTTAAGTTTCACGTACAACAGAATCAAAATCAGATTTCAAATAATAATTAACTAGAGCATCTAATATTTTATTCGTTATTTCAAGGTACAAAAATTAGGCTTTTTAAAAATAATCAAAGCTAATGAAATAAATTCAAGGCAGATATTTATTAACCATGTCTGGGTTTTACCAGCAATAAGATGATTTATAATTAGTTTTGGACAAATTTTTTCTATTCAATTATTCTTTATTTTAATAGTTTAAGTTATTTACGTGTTTGTATACTTGTGAATATTACTAATTATGTGTTAAAAGGGGAAGGAAATATCCAGAAACTGTTTATCTGAACCATTTCAAATTAGAATCAAACCAATAATAAAAAACTTTGGTTCAATGAACTTGATTCCACCGATCCTCTTGCATCATCAATAATATCTCTCATCCTTTCCAAAGCTCAATTTACAATGGAAGAATGGGAGCCGATGAAAAATACAGTTGATATCCTTTATCATGCTAAAGATTTTGAAATTATGATTTCCAAAAACAACATTGATGAAATTTATTGATTTAAAAAAGAATTTTTTTAAAATCTTTTTTTAACTATTACATCAGAAAGAGTAAAGTGTATGAATGAATGGATGGATACTTTCATAAACGAGGGTAGCTGGCAGTTAGATGCTTTTAGTGTTGGTCGCCAAAGCTGTTTTGAAGAGGCGAAAGTCAAAACTAAAATCAAAAGTTATATGTCAAAACTAAATCAAAAGTCAAAGTCATAATTAGTTTCGACTTATGGCTAGGCCTTTGACTTTCTCACAATTGCGAAACTCTCCAAATTTGGAAGCCAACACTATTTGAATATTTTGTTGTTGATGTAGCAGTCTGATATTTTGGTAATTAATTTATGAGGATGATGATGATGTTGAAAAATAGCCAATTAATATACCTATGAAATAAACAAATATGCAGTTTTATATTAATTTTTGTGTGAGGTTTAGATACAAAATTCTGATTGGATAACGTGTAAATTTAAATTTCAGTTTATCTATCTACTACTACTATTATTATTATTATTAAAGACAATATATTGGATTAAAGGCGGCTTCTCAATAATTGCGGCTGTGGTTGCGGTTGAATTGTGGCTAATTACGGGATCCATATTTAATTTCCAATTTGGTTTATTATTGTTTCGTGTAACGAATCAATATCGGAAATTTTTTTCAGTCTTTCATGGATTACCAATTTAGAAATTAGAAAAAATCATTTGCTGATCCATTCATTTTAATATAATACAATCTGCCGTTCGAGATTAACGTCTAACTTCCAATGTTACTTTACTCAATTTCTTCGATAAGTAATTATTAGAGATTCCAATATTTATTATGTTTTTTTGTAGAGAATAAAAAGCATATTCAAATAGGTTTCTGTAACCTTTTATGGTAAAAGGCTGGCAAGTTGAATATAACCGATATACCTGATACATTCACAGGGGAAGAAATTATTATCGCTTATGGTTAACAATTTACACATTATGTTTGAATAATTTTTTTATAGATAGTATAGATATAGTTGGTAAGTTGGTCTTATCAATCGAGTATTTGATAATATATTACAGCTAAAACATATTTCCGTTATATTTCTGCGCAGGATGATGAATAAATATAGATGCAAATATAGGTTAGTTAAAATTATCAAGAACATTCATATTTCGAATTTATTTTAGAATCATGAATAATTGCTATTATAATTATTTATATTATTATTACAATTATTTATTATAAAAATTAAATTAATTCATAATAAAATAAAATTAATTCATAATAATTAAATAAAATAAAATTCTCAGTTTGACCTAAAATTGGGTATCATGTGATCAAACTTGAAGAGTAGATTTCCCATGATGGGGTACAAAACAGACACAATACTGGTATTTTCCCACAATATATTTAAAAGGAAAATAATAAATAATAATAAATAGTAATTCATCGGCAATTATCGGGACAGCACCATAACGTCCCTAACCGCAAAGATAACATAACATTCTCGTTTCAATTGTTTTATAAAGTAGGGGTGCTAATCTTTCGGGCTTTTAGAAATTTTTTATTATTTTACTAGAGATGGTGATGTTAGTCAAAAAAAAATTAACCATATAAGCTACACTTTTTTAAAAAATTTATTTATTTTTTTTTAAAATTTTTATTACGAAATTAATCGAACTTTGATCAGTATTTTTTTTTCCTCAAACAAAATGAGTGATAATAGTTTTAACCTTTTCCCCCCTGAACATACACAAAATAATTCTTCAACTTTTGCCTATTCTAATAATAATAACGCGTTTAATATTAGTACTTTTGGCAGAAGATCTCAAACTGCCAATTTAAACAATAGTCCGCTTGGATTTTTAACACTTTTATCACCACCACAATCTCAATTTTCACTTGAAACAAGACCTCAACCTTTACTTTTTGGAACAAACCAATCTCTGGTTCTACAACAGCCTCGACCTTTTTCTCAACTTACAATTTTGAATCCTCAAGAAAGCCATCATCAAAATGGACTTGATACTCCTCAACCATATAACCAAACACAATTTAATCCAAGTCTTCCTTATAGTTACAACAACAACAACAACAATGCATTAGGTGGACATCTTGATTTCGTGGTTTTAAATTTAAATGATATCATTAAAAATCTTTCAAAGATTTTTAATTATTATGATGTTTTGACTGGACATCTCAATAATGAAATTCAAAATATAAATGCTCTTAATGGAAATGAACTTATTATTCAACTAAACAACCAAGCACAATTTAATTCTAGCTTTCCTTACAATCACTACAACAACAACAATCGTAATAACGAACCAGGTGGAAATATTGATAACATGGTTCTAAATTTGAATGTTGTTATTAATAAAAGTAAAAGTCTTTCAGAGATTTTAAATGATCACCATGTTTTAGCTGGGTGTCTTGATGACGAGGTTCGAAATATCCCAAGACTTCCTTATAATTATTACAACAGCAACAACAATCATAATATTGAATTATTTGGGCGCCTTATTGGAACAGTTCAAAATTTAAACAAGATCAATAAAAATCTTTCGGAAATTTTGAATGGTCATCGTATTTTAAGTGGGCATCTTGATAATGGAATTCAAAATATCTCAAGACTTTCTTACAATTATTACAACAACAATGGTCATAATAACGGACATATTGACGATGCGGTTTTAAGTTTAAATGTTATTAATAAAAGTCTTTCAAAGATTTTGAACGATTGTGGTATTTTAGATGGGCAACTCAATGATGAAATTCAAAAAATAAATTCTCTTAACAGAAATCTTTCAAATATTTTTAATAATCAATGAATCACCTTGTATTTATTTTTAACCTCTAATCATTTATATTTATTATATTTAATAATAATCGTGTTAATAATAGTATCTATTGACATAAAAATAAATTATAGTTTATCAAACTTCGGAGTGTTTTGAATTGACCTTAATATGCCTTTTGTTGTTTGTAAAAAACAAAGCGACCTTGCTGCTATAGAAAAAATATTGGATCTCTAATAATGACATATCGAATGAATTTGAGAAAATATCCCATCGGAAACTTGAGGTTGGACTCAAGTGGAAAAGCTTGCAAAAGAAGATATATACTTGCAGTATAGATATTGTCCTGAATTTATTTATTTCTACTTTCTCTTTATAGGACGAGGAAACAATTCATATTTCGCCAATTACGTATAATTTTCTCTCTCAAATTGGAACCCATAGTTAAACAATCAACGTAATATTTTTTATTTCCCAAAGATTGCATATATGTAAATAGACCTAATTTATAAAGAAGTGTATTTATGCTAGCCAAAACTATTTTGAAGAGGCAAAAGTCAAAACCAGTTTGACTTATGGTGAAATCTTTTGACCTTTGCACAGCGTGAAACTATAGTTTCGATTAATTTATGCATATTGTTATTCAATTACGTAACCATTAGATTACACATCATACAGATATATATATGAAAACAGCATAATAAGATCATTGAATTGGTGAACAAAAAGCATATTAAGACCAATTCAAAACATATATATGCGAAGATAGTTTATTTTATAAATATTAATTAGTTTATATATTCCTATCATCTTTCTACATAGAATGATTATTAAATATAAATAATAAATAATTAGATGTGATTGTTGTTGTTATTGTTGTAAGTCTCTGATTAATTGTGCTTGATTATTTGATTGAAGAACATTCGATGATAATAATGACGAGGATTCGAAATTGTATATTGAGAATTTGGTAAAAAAAAAGTCAAAGATTGTTGTGGTCCTAGAAGTAAATGTAAAGAGTTTCAAGTGAAATTGAGATTGTGGCGGGAGTAAAGGTAGAGATGTGTAAAAATTCAAGAGGATTATTATCAATGTCGTTTAGATTGGCAATTTGAGAATTGTCATCAAAAGTGCTAATATCAAATGCATTATAATTGTTATTATCATTACAATGTGATGAAGAAGATTTAATTTGTGGAGACCTGAGGAGAGATATTACGAAAATTATCACTCATTTTATTTTAATAAAAAGAGCATTTTTTTTTTTAAAATAATGATGTATTTTGTTTATTTATATATAGTAGATGAGTAAATCAATAAACAATAAGGGACCTATATATATATAGCAAACAGAATCTTGCGTGGGATTTTATGTACACTGTTTGTTACGTATGTACGTGCACAAATATATATGTATAATGTTGATTAACATAAATAATAATATTATTTATTATTTTTAAACTGGTTTTTATCTTGTTTTTCTTTTTTATTCGTCATACGAAAAAAGAATAACGCCTATTATGTAGATCTTCATTTAATACTCGGTTAAAATTTTAAATAAAACTAGTTAGGGTTCTATGTCAATATTGTGTTTTTACTACGGAAGAAAAATTTTTTGTAAGTCATCAAATAATTTTGTTACAAAATTTACTGGATCCAACAACAAATGGTCTTCTTATGATATCATCTACAATATCAATATCATCAGTAGCGGCGCTCACCAAAGTTCTGCAAGACCAAAAGATCATCATCACCACCAATTAATAATGATGATGTTATTTTCTCTATTACTTCCTCATTATTGCCAGGAGAATAAAAATATTCTTATCAATAATTTTAATGGTTTGTCAAATATTCCAATTTGCAATTTTAGAAAACGATTTAGAATATTCCATAAAATTATTTTCATCGATTAATGAATTAAGATGTTCTCTATCAACTTGACGCTTATCAGTCAGTGCGCAAATCCTAAAATTTAAGGGGAGGTCGTTTTGCCAGAAATTTTGGCTGATCGACATTGAAATTTTACTAATAAAAACTCGAATGTCTTCAGTCCCTTATTTTATACCCTGGTTTTGTATCAAAATTTTCACGTTGTTTATTTTTCATGTTCTTTATTTTGTAAAAAATTTTCAAGTAAGGTTAATAAAGAGCGGAAAAGAATCAAGGTCTCAAAGTTTTTTTTGTCTTTGTGTGACAATAGAAATTTCACGTCTTGCAAGTAAACTTGTAAAACTAGTGAAGTATTCAAATATTTTAAACATTACGATTATATTTAAAGTAATTTTAAATAACGAATAGTTTGACTTTTTATTTTTATTTTTATTATATATTAATTACACAGGAAGGATATTCATTAATAGATACTTGTCATGTATTTATAATCGATTATTATACTTGTAATTTATAATTCAATTAATATTCATATTAAAACTTTTGACTTTTTTGTTAAATCATTAATTATTCTTAAATCTTTTGAAATTTCAGAATTAACTTTTTTTATTATGATAATATATTGAAGATAGAATTGACAGGATATGGCGATGACATAAATTATGATGATGCTTACCAACCAACCTTTAGACACACTATCCAAATAATACCGATCAAGAATATAGATGTTAGTCACAACTTTTGATGGTGGTCGCAATAACCTTTGTGATCGTTTTGCTTTCTTCTTTGAATTGTAATATGGACATATTTGTCAATAAAAAAGATCAAGATGTGTAACTATATTAGAAGCTAAAACTACATTACATCTGTTATCCAAGAATAAATTTCCGAAGAATAAACATTAAACTATCTTACCTACTTTAAATATGAAAGCAGATCTAAGTGAATAAAAAGTAATGAAAATATACGTTTTATTTATTTTTGAAAATTCTGTCAAGTGAGTTGTCTTTATGGTACTAATGAAGTCTAAAGAACAAGGTTTGCTTTGGTTTATTGACTATTGTAATCAGAATAAAGCTGCCTTGTTGAAAAGAATCAACGTTTTTAGTGTAAATTTTCGTGTGTATTTTAACCCATTATTGTGAGTTCGAAAAGCAGCTTTATTTTAAATAAAAGGTGCCAAAATATTTATTGAAACTTCGAGAAAATTTTTTATATATATCATTTTTTTAATCTATTAAGAAGTTTATGTGTTATAAATGTTAAAAGAAATTCTTGCATTCAAGCGAATGTTACACACACTAATTAAAAAAAAGAGAAAGGATTTGCACACTGACTGCTAAGGTTTGTTCGATTGCTATGTTGACTGGGGGATCAATAACTCCAAGATAATGAAAAAGTAAACCGATAGAATTAAAAGCTAAAGGCTTAAGTTCTTCATTCTATCAGTTTACCCTTTCCATTACGTAGAGTTTTGTGGAGTTATTGGCTTTCAAAGATTGCCGATTTTAGTGTTGTACGTAATTTGGGATCGCATTAAAAAATATTATTTTATTTATTTAAAAAAAAAATTTTTTTAAATTTTGATCGATGGATCCAAGTTTATATCAACAACAACAACAAACGCCTCAACAAAATTTTGTTGTTCCTTATAATTTTATAGGAGCTCCTCAGACTGGTATTTATCCCCAACAATATTCAAATGCAGATGATCAAAATAATGCGCATTTACAAGCTTATAGTAGCAACTCAAACCCTATGATGTCAATTGCAGAAACTAGGTCTGTTTATCCAGTACCAGTTGAATCTCCAAGATCTATAACAGGAAATGATATGCCTGCTGCAAAACGTTTTGCTCTTGCTCAATCTATACAAAACATCTACCCTAATTTAATTCAAAATCAATCCCAATTAGCTCCAGATCAACTTTATGGTGGTAGTAGTAGCATTTTCCCTAATCCATCGATAAATACTGCAAGAACCATAAGCACCCTGCCAACTCGAACAAATTTAAGTACTGATGGTTCAAGTATAGATGGCAAAACTGTATTATTGCAACCTAATTATATTTCTCCAATGCAAAATATAAATAAACATTATGAGCAGTTACAAAAACAACAGCAACAACTACAACAACTACAACAATTATCAACAAAAATTAATACATTTACAGATCATTATAATTTAATAAATAATTCACATCCTGCTGCTCAACAGATTAATCAAACTATCCAAAACTCAATTCATCCATTTAATAATCAAATGGATTGGTTAGAATTAACTAATGATGAAGATATTGATTATGATTTTAATTATAATACTGACTCAACTACTCCTAGCAGTAATAGCGTAGAAGGAAATATACCAGATTGGACTCAGAGTACCTTATTACAAAAACATATAAATTATCCAAATCAAAATCCTTCTTCTAAATCCTTGTATCCACTAATTAGTCCAAACAGTCTTCAAAAAGATAATTCACAACAACTAAGGCAACAAAACAACAATGAGCAACATTCACAACAATTGTTACAGCCAAAATTAGATCAAGATCAAGAATTAGGCTCACAAACAGTTCATTCTACATTACAAATAGTTCAACCACAACCACCACAACAACAACAACAAAAACTACCAAAAATGAAAGTTGATGATTCTAAATATACCAATTCGAGCATACTTTCTGTTCCATCAAATAATACCGTTAATCTTATTAGTGATAGTGATGACAATAACAGTGGAGGTAGTAGTAGTATTGCACAAAATTTATCTCTAAAAAATATTCAAAGTTCAGTCCAAGCATCATCCAGTAGCATTGGAGATAATAATGGATCCTCTATAAGTTCAAATCAATATATTAATTCTTCTGGTTTTCTTGTAAATGTCAACTCTAATCAACCTTTGAATGACATAAATCAACAGCAGCAGCAACATAATGATGATTTAAATCAACAATCTGCCGCAATTATACCAACCAATTTATTGAATATTTCACAACCACCACCAAAACTTCATTTACCAACTAATCAAGGAATAGCTTGCAAAAGAAATTGTCAAGTTAATGAACAATCTGAAACAAATCCTTCTGTTTCCAATAATATATTGCCAACTACAGACCCTATTAACACCAAAACCATTAAACCACCAAGATTAATTTATGCACCAAAAACACGTAGAGTGGACAGTTATGGTGGTTTAAATTTGACAGTTTTTGAAAGGTTGCCATTGCCCTTAGTCATACCAAGGATTCAAGATTTAGGTAATGTCAATCAATTCAATAATTTTTTTAAAACTTATCTTATGTATGTTTATGTTTGTATATTTTTTTTGAATAGGTGTAGTTGATATTCATGCTCTTACAATGTCATTAAAATCAGGAATGAAATTAGAAGTTACAAATGCACTTAACACATTAACAATAATTTCAAGTTATAAAAATGCATTGTTAGATTTGAATAGATGTGGTGAACTGGTTGATGTATTGATTGATATAATAATGGAATATTTGGATTGTGTATCAATCAATTATTATTGTTATTCTAATGAATCTAAAGGGGAAAATTCATTATCAAATAATAAATTTTTGACATATTTAGAGTTATTTCAACAATCAAAAAGAGAATGTGAAGAGTTTTCAGATGTTGAACTTGAACAATTTTCTATTTCAGAAGGATGGTTACAATTACATGAACAGTGTTGGTGTGCATTGAATATAATTAGGAACTTTTCTTTTATACATGAGAATCATAAATATTTAGCACATCATCCAAGAATTTTAGGAACATTTATGGAAATTTTATATCTTGGATCGATTGATAATTATGATTGTGTTAGCAGTAGTGGCAGTAATAATAGTAATGATGATAAGAATTATGGTGATGATGATGGTGATGATGATGATGACAAAGACAATAATGATAATAGTGATGGTGGTGATGATGATGTTAATCAAAAGAAATTCAAATTTTTTTTAATGATTCTAAATAAATCTTCAAGAACAGATTTACATAATAAAAAAAGATATGCAAGGAAAAAAGCTTATGATATATTAGAATATCGTAAAATTGTTTTAATAATTTTATCAAATATTGCAGGATATGTCTCAATGCCTTCAATACTAGCAGCAAGAGATCTTCTATTGATAATTTCTGATTTTCTAAATAATTCAGATGATTATTATGCACAGATAGCATTAGAAGTTTTATCCAAGTTGACAGTCTCATATGAAAATAGACAGAAAGTTAGTGAATGTGATGAGGATACATTGAAATCAATTTTTGAAAAGCTTGTAAGGTTATTACCAAAAGTAGAAAGTGATATTTATAGTAGATATAATTATAATGGCAATATTATAACTCATACATCATCATTTCAAGAATTACCATTCTTAGCTACCTTAATAATGTCATTTTTTAATTTTGCAAGTTTGAATAATGAAACAATGAAAAAAAGGATTATAGCCACATCAGGGTTTATAAATCGAATGCTTAAAATGACATTGATATTGGCAAGCATTAGAAATATTAGAACAGGTGCTAATGAAGAAGATTGTGTTATGTTGGCTAGAAGATCAATGGAAATGCTCAAAGTATTGGCTAAAGGAAATAAAGAAAGTTTTCTTTTATATAATGAACAGTTATTAAATGCTTTATTAATTCCATATATTGATCCTGTTGTAGTAAAAGATTTAGAAGCCATTGTTATTTATCCAGTTGATATATAATATTATTATATATTAATAGTGATTAATTAATTATAGTTTAAATTTGATTTTTGATTCAACTACTTTGTTTCAAAAAATCAACATTAAAAAATGAATGAATGTAATGCCTATATTAATATTAAATCAGCAACCATATAAAATATGACATTTATTATAGAAATCATTATTGGTAGTGTTTTTTTTTATTAAACATAAATTAAATAAAATTATCAAAATGATAAATTACCTTTAATTAGTAATAGTAAATTTCTGAAAGAGCCAAGCCAGCTCAAGCTCAAATTCTATTTATACATTTTATGTAAAGATATTAATTAAGTTGGCTCAAACTCAGCTCATTCAGAGCTCTTGTTTCAACCAGGGCTGGCCACTTAACCCTAAGGTTTAGTCTTTTTCATGTAATAACTTAACTTTAGCAAGTCATTATTTTACTCATTCAAAAAAAATTTTTGCCCTTTGTTCAACAAAATTAAAATAAGAACCATAACATTAGTTTATATAGATAGGCACACCCTAATGTAAGTATTTTCATATGATGCTATGATACATAAATGAAAGAGAATTTGCTTCTCATAATAGAATAGAGCCCTAGGTGTATTTGATCTGGCCCCACAACATTCTTTTGTACCCATTACATTAAAGATGGGAACCGTAACTATTGTGGATTTGACTATATAAGAAGCATTAAATAATAATAATAATAAAATATTTAATGCAAAAAAAAATTATCCAATTTGCTGTAATATCTTTTTTTTTAAAACTGATCCTCTTACTGATTATGAAGAGGAAAGGGTATGAATTTTGAGCATCCTGACATGTCAATAGAATACCAGATGGATTATTATGAAGAGTCTTTCTATGGATAAGATGCTTACAGCATGAAGAGGTAGATCTTATGACTGATCATTTTAAAGAACATGATGATGAAGGATTTAATGTTATCATAATTCATGATAAAACTCATCAAGGGGGCTATTATCATCAAACAAATTCTAATCAGCATCCTATACATATTATTCCACCAAACGAGACAGGGAGGTACACAGAGCAAAATAAAATATTTAGATTTTCAGCCAAAAAAAAGCAGAAGAAAACTTTTTCTTCATGTAAAATAAAGATCTTAAAGATATTGAAATTGAAAATTGGTATTCATATAGGCCATAACAAAATGTTAAAAAAAAATCTGCGATATCACAAGCATTGATTTGATTGTACAAACAGAAGAATTCATTACGAAAAATTGGATTTACAATTATAATGAATGTAACATTCATTATATTGATCTTTAGAAGGATTAAATGCATATCAAAAACAAAATGAAACTCAAAACTTAGATATCACAAAGTTAACATTTCCAGTCATAACTAAGGATATACAGAAATTTCTAATGTGAAAGAAGATTCTAATGCAAAGGAAATTTCTAATGCAGAACAAGATACATCTAGAAAATCATCCAAAACCACTCTCCAAAATTCAAAATACAACTTTTTTAAAATGTATTGATGATTTATTTGTTAATAATAATTGATTTAAGTTTGTTACAATATTACTATTTTATAATTATATGTAAGTGTACTAGAAATGCATAAATAAATAATCATCTATAGTGCAGGACACCTAGTCCCTACAACTTTTATTAATCTTGGAAATCCTTTAACTCCTCCAAAAATGGAAATGTGTGACCAAAAAAAAAAGATGTCATTTTGAAGCTAAGACCTTTTTCTACAAAATGATGTTGTTGTATTAAGCCTTAAAGTTTAACAAATTTACTATGTTAATCAGTTGGGGTATTCGATATTGGTTGATTGACAAATCTAAAAGATAAATCTATATGTGCGGATTTTTTATGGTAACTAAGGATACCGGCTGCAACTTTTGATGATGGTTGCTACCATCTTTGCGTCATATAAAAATGATTGCAACCGCTGGTTGCAACCACCTTTACGACCATTTTGTTTCCTTTTTTGGATTGCGACATGGAACACTAATCAAGATATTGGCTATATAGTAATGTAGACTTTGTGTAAATAAATCATGTTATTAGTCGCAGATCAAGTGTCATTCAATATAAACATTACACGAATAAAATTATTATCACTTCAAAAAAAAAAATTCTCCGTTTTTCATATAGCAAGCGATTTCCAACCATAATAAATTTTTTAGAGCCAGACTGGGACTTTTAACAACAGTTAAAAGAAAAGGCTAGCTTAAATATTGGTTATTCTACGCTAGGTCGGAAGCGTTTCTTTTCTTCACACTTATTTTAAGATTTTCTTCCAACTAATATGCAGACTAAAACAAATTCAGCGGCAACAATTGTGCCAAATTGTTCCCTACAAAGTCACTTATAACTACTTGAAAGGTTGTGTTAGAAAAAATTTGACTTTAATTATAAGAGACTGATTGATAATTATTTATAAGTTATTAATAATATTAATTGATGAAATGAAACTATCATAGCAACACTATAATAGAAATGCTTAAAAATTAAGTATCCTATTACTAGCTTGTATATAAAAAAACAAATCTTGGTTTTTATAAGGATAATCTGTGCTTATCATCTAGACTTATATACATCGGAATTAATAAGAATGAATATGACCAAACAAACCTTGGTTTTTACAAGTATAATCTGTGCTTATCATTAATATATAAAATTGTTACACGATCGCTTAGATCTTATACATCGGAATTAATGAGAGTGAATATAATAAACAAACCTTGGTTTTTACAAGTATAATCTGTGCTTATTATTAATATATAAAATTGTTACACGATCGCTTAGATCTTATATACATCGGAATTAATAAGAGTGAATATAACAAACAAACCTTGGTTTTTACGATCACCTAGATCTTATATACATCGGAATTAATAGAACAAACAAACCTTGGTTTTTACAACTATAATCTGTGTTTATTATTAATATTATCTATTAATGTGTAAATAAAAGTCCTTCTAAATCGTTATACTTGATGAATGTTTTATCAATTATTCAGCAGTTGATTGAAGTGTTAAAAGCAAGATCTATGAAGCTTGCTATATTATATGTGTGTGTATAATTAAAACACACCAAACTTTAGTTCATATCTATCTTTTGATCTAGCAATGATCTGAATGATCTTGGTTAACCAACAGTAAAGACAAAAATAACGAATATTTCCATTCAAAAAAAATATATATTTGCTACACCAGTTTTTTTTTCACATATACACCTTTTTTCTATTTTAAAACAATTGAAAGTTACACTGCATAAATTATTGGGGTTGGTCACAATGGGTCTGGAACACTTTACCGACACCCACTTTACTGACAGGACACTTTACCAACACCCATTTTACTGTCAAGACACTTTACCAACAGGACACTTTACCAACAGGACACTTTGCCGACAGGACACTTTACCAACAAGACACTTTACCAACAGGACACTTTACTGACAGAACACTTCACTGCCAGGACACTTTACCAACAAGACACTTTGCCAACAGGACACTTTACCGACAATCTAAGTAAAGTTGAACTTGATGTAGAAATGGTCTTGCAAGGAACACCACGACCCCCACAGAAACCACAAGATCGTAATTGTGAAATACAGATTCAAACAGTATTAAATGACCATAACATTAGATCAACTATAAAGTTTCTTTGGGGCATTGCCCATAATATTTCATTTTAAAAAATTTTTTTTTTGTTATTTTTTAAATAGTAAATGATTGATAAATAAATTTAATAAAAAAACAACATGAATATGCAATTTTTAATTTTTATCAATTTTGTCAGACAAAAAAAAAATATTACACATGTGGGGTCTGATCAATAGAAACAAGGCATGTCAAAAAATTCATGTTTTGAGAAAATCAACAAATAAGATTTTTGACCC